CCATCTGAGACTGTTTTCCCCAGAGTAATTATATTTACCATACATTAGGTTTTCCATACCGTATTTACATTTATAGCCCTGCACTTTGAGAAATTACCTTTGTTTTCAGCTTTGACAGAAAGCAACAAAGAACACATCCCATTCAGTGCACATCTGGCACGCCACAAAGTTAATCAGAAAGGTTTCTGGTTTAAAACCCAGCCTCCAGTAACATTTCATGCCTTCAGGAGTTCCAAGAAGAGCTCTAAGACTAAAAGGAAAATACATGTACCCGTTTTCCACAAAAGTTTAGCTTTTGTTTTGCTTTACATTTGTTCACGTGTTTTGAGGTTTTTTCCTGTGTGCTTTTATAGTTGGGCAAGGAAGAAAGAACAGGCCTACTAAAAAACTGTTAATTAAGAATAAGCACTATCCACTAAATTTTGCAGAAACACTGAGAATCTGAGACTTCAGTTATTTCTATTCCAGTGCTTTGTATTTCAACTACCAAACAAAGCTTTGCCATGTTATAACTATTTCACTGATAGAGATCTCCAGTGTGTGGGGATAGGCGGATATGGGAGAGACAAAGGCCTTCTGCTTACACAACACACTGAGCCACCACACTTCAGAAACTCCTGTAAGCACAGCTGTGCTAGTCAGGAAGAATAAAAATTCAGTCAGGCCAGCAAAGTTAAGGTCTTGCTCATTAAGCCTCCTGCTCCTGTACATGATGAAGGCAGCAAGGCAAGGAAAAGCTCTCACAGGACACATGCTTGTGTTGGTAGGAGCTGCACTTCAACCCAGGAAAAAGCACACTACTTGACCTGCAACACTTCTGGAGACCCAGACATACCACTGCATAGGAAGATTACATGTGTCAGTCTAGTTTAAAAAGCTCTAACAAGATAATACCTTTCAGGAGGCTGGTAAATGCCAAATTAGATTTCTTCTTCTCCCCACCGCTGCCAATAAAATATTCTCAGTTATGCACCAAATATAATGCTGGTAGTGCAAAGAGCTGCACATTACCACACAACAAAGCTATGTTCCAAAACATAACACCCTACAGGAAGAAAGATTTGGAAACAGTTTCTTTATGTAAGCAAGTTATAGCTTTGTTTAGTAATCCTGCACTTCTCATGTCAATATTATTCATTAATCTCTGTAGGTTAAAAGAATTTTATACTGCCAGAGTACTAATTTCAAAGGCAGTTTGGGTGCAGAAGTGATAGTGGTTTCATAAGCAGAGTGAAGGCAGTAAATCCAGCTAACAAAGACATTGTTCTACACACAGTCAGCTCATGGATCTGTGTATGGTATTAGCAGAACCAGCAATGTACTCCAAGGACACCTGAGTGCACAGCTCCTGCTGTCAGCACTCATCAGGTCCAGCTCAGGACTGCTCCTTTCTCTCCAGGGTGTCCAGGCCACATTCCACACTGAAGGAGATTCTAGGGAAGCATTCTGGTCTGACCTAACACCAGCTCTGAACCAGGCTCAGACTGCTGCCAGTTCTGCAAGAGTGCAGGAAACAGGTGCTACTGAGAGTCAGGAAAATTGGCACCAAAAATTCAGCACTATTAAAATAACTCCAAGCAGCTGAGCATACTTCATGTATTCTGCTCAGGTAAACATGGTCTTTGCCCCAGAGTAGCAGAAATTTTCTAAATCCAAGACCATCAAAATTTTATTCTTCAACCACATGCAAATTAGAATGGGTTATTTGGAAAGGTTATAAAATACCTGTCATCTTTCAAAAGGGTAGGAGAAAAATTAACTCTGTAACTGGTTTGCCTCATAATACTATTCTTCATCTTAGAAGAAAAGTTTCTGAATAAAGTCACAGCTATAATGGCAACAGGAGATTAGCACCACCTCCACTTTCTTCAAACAGCAAGTTCACTTCCTACTACCACTGCACAACTGAATCAGAGGCCAAATCAGCACCAGCATCATTTGAGGATGAGTATTCAAACAGATACATCTCCATTTCACTCTCTCCTCGTTATTCCTAAGGAGAAAATGTGAAAATACCTCACACTGCTCTTCATGAAGACAGCAAGGAGACAAAAAACCCTACCCAGTGAGTCAGAACTGCCTTTATCCTTCAAAAGGATTTCAGAAGGCACTTGAGGAATGCCAGCTGGAAGATGCCTCCATTCTTGCTACAGTGACCTAATCCCAACATAAGCACAACTGGAGACTGCTCAGCTGTTTATACCTCCAAATGAGTCAGCAACACCAAAATATAGGTGTCTTCTAATACAGTATAAGGATTCAAAACTTTGTTTGAAGCAGTAAAAACTCATTAAAAATAATTTAATAATTTTCAAGCTACCTATGCCAGAAATGTCTTAGAATGGCCACATGTGGGGAAGAAGATGGTGCCTCACCTAAGGAAGAGCTGCTCTGCATAATCTCTCCCTGAAGCAGCTGCTTTGCAGAAGCCTTTCAGGAACTGAATGTTTACCCATGTGTGCCACAAAGAGGGTCATTTACAACAACTGGGGAAAAGTTGGTATTTAAAATATTATGAAGCATTTTGGGGTTTCTTCTTTGTTTAGTTTGGGTGGTTGGGTTGTTTTAGACGACTTCAACCTCATACAACACACTGACCTTATAAATACCCTTTAAATGAGAGTGGAAAATTACTTCCTTTAAGAACAACTCAGCACCTTAACTACTTTATCTCATGGAAGTTTTCTTGCTATTTTACTTTGTATTCAGAACAAGATCCCTATTGTACCAGCACGACCTACTCATCTGGAAGCAAGAAAGGTTATCACAGAGGCCTGGGCCATGCTGGAGAAACACTAGAACAAGAAAGTTGGAATGAAAGTATTTTAGAAGTTACAGAAAAATGGAAGTTAAACATGATAGATTGCCAAAAAAGTTGAACTTCTTTTTAAATGTATCATTGTAAAATTATTATAACTGTTGATATTACTACATTGGACAACTCCATGTTTGAAAAGTCTTATTTCAGGCGATTTCCTTTCTTCCAAAAGCCTCCTACGCTGAACAGTAAGCTAAGCAGAAAAATGGGGGGGTTTTGTCAGATGAATTTCCTCTGTCCAATAAGTATCTTATCTGCAGATAAGTATTCCAAAGTCCAAATACTATCAAGAGAAAGCAAAATGCCTACTTAACTACTGCAACATAAAGTACAACATGTTTAACTAGGTTTTAAACTTCTAACAGTGTTTAAAACAATAATCATTTCTGTTCAATATTTGAGCACTCCTAAAAATGTACCATCAGCACTTAAGAGTGTGTCTATTCAGCTTTACTTAAGAATTAAAGCAATAATCAACAACCTAAAACTAAACTCAGAAGGACATCTTCATTTAGGAGGCAGCTCATTTAAATCATTACAATTCTTTAATTAGAGTACTACAGGCACAAAGACCTCTGCTTTAGAAACAGAGTAGCACTGCAGAGGTCAGTTTTTTTAATGTCAATAATAAACTATGTATCAACTAAATCATTAAGATTAGCAGACTAGTCATGGCTATGAGAAGGACAGCCACACTAATCAGTTGAGAAAGGATCACTTAAGATTCCAGATCAGTGAAAACAAACTCAAAGCCATCTCTAGACATAGCAAGTTTAGTAAGAAATGAAATTAAAACAAATACAGGGAGGGAGCTACAAACACATGTTTTCCTTTACACTTGGTGAAGCTTAAAGCAAAGCTGAAGTTTACAATCTAATCTTATGGAAAGAGCCTCCAACACACTCTGTGTGACTCCACAGATGGCTCTTTATTAAATTTCCTTATGCAAAAAGTCAGTAATACTGACTAATATATGCTCTATACATATACACACACACATGCAACGCTCTACAGTTTAAAAAGCCCAACCAACCTAAGCCATCAAGAGTATTTTATAAAGTCTGGGAGAGTTCAGGCCTTGTTCTAGCTCTGTCTAAAGGAATCAGGCACTAACAGTCATTTCAACAAATAACACATGTTTACCAGGCCAGAAAAAGAAATTACTACTTCTGTTTTCATTCTTCAACCTGACAGTTATGAATGGACCAACTTTAAGAAAGTTAAGTATCAGCATTTTACTGAATGATGGGATTTATCCTCACAAAGCTTCACAAAAGCACACTAATAAAACACACTCTAGCCTACAATCAATAGTTCTACTAAACAGGGTACAATCAATGTGAAGCAGAACCTTATCTAGTTTGAGCAGAGGCAAAATCTGCCTCTAAAATCCTCAAGGCTACAGCATGTTATTAAAACACAAACTACACCCTCAAACTGAAGTCAGCAATAGCCACATCCAGGGCTCAACACCTCCATGTATTCCCACAGAGTCAATCCAACATCTACCTCAGATTTTTCCTCCTATTAAAAGGAACAAAAAGTCAGTATGCTAGAACTTGTCCCCTTCAAAGCTGCCACAAACTACTCACTAGATAACAATTTCTCCCTTTCCTCCCTCTGTCCAAGAATATTCAATATGGATAGACTTTAACACACATACACAATTATATGTATATACTTTAATTAAGTATTTAAATTATTATTAATTATAAATTAATTCTTTATTATTATTTATTAAGTACTAAAACTACTAGAAGACTTTCTGATACCAAGTGAGAAGAAATACAGCTACAAGCTGCACTTTTGTATTTATTTTGGGCACAGAACACTCTTTCAGGAAACACTGCTGCAGTCAGTTTCAAGTTCTGAGCTTACAGGGAAAAAAAAAGTGGCTGCATATTGCCTTATGCAAAATCAAAAGGAAACCCAATTCAGCAATACTGATCATGTGAATCTGCATTGTCTGGGTTGGGCAATAACATTATGATGATCAGCTACCCAATGAAATAAGCTCTTCAGAAGTCTCATTTCAAATTATGTTGGCTTCAAAAGACTTCTGACTAGCTTTTGCTAACAAAAAAAAAAAAAACAAACAAAAAATCCTAAGTTTTCTTTAAGTAGTGTTTTCAACCTTAATACTAAAGTGCCAAACCCACTTTATTCTCCAAATTACACTTACTTCATTTCCATGTTTCTGCAGAAATTCTATTTCCTGTTGTGTGAAGGTAGTCATTGAAATCGACTTCACTCTGTGGGGTGGATTCAAGCCCCGCCTGAAAGAAGAAAGAGGTGTTCAGCACTCGGGAAATTTGTCACCATACAATCACGTTTAACACCACAGCTAGAAGTCAGACAGTTTTAAAATCAGTAGCCATCTCTGTAAAGCACACTCATTCTTGGTACTGCCATACAACTTAAGGCTGTGTAAGCTCTTCTCAAGTAACACTCAGTATACAAAGCTGAGTAACAGAACTTCAGGGGAGACCCATATTCACAACTGCTCATGCAAAATAACTCGGGCACTTTCTATGCAAATTTAAGAAAACAAAATTAGACTTTTTAAAAAATCCTAATCTGCTTCACCCTTGCCTCTACCTTTTGTCTCTCACTCTTGGGTTTCTTGGTTGTAGTTTCCTTTTCCTCCAACTCTTTCCACACTTTGATCTCTTATTACAACTTCTACACAGTAACTAGATTTCTTCAAGCTAAACTGCCCAGCTCAGTCTTTTTCTCTTGCTTTAAGCTACATTTCCTGTTTCCTCACAGCATATTTTTATAGTTTACTTTTTGCCCCGAGAACTCACAGGGGCTTACTCCTCCTCCTGAACACTACTGAAGTAGCCAGAACAAAAGCAAAAAGACACGTTTTAGTGTGCTGTCACATGAGAGATCCCATTGCTAATGCCACAGCTCAAACATGAGCAGCCCTGCCTGAAGCCCAGACTGGCAGCACTCTCACATCCATGCCACGCTGCCACAGCAGGGCCAGCAGCACACCAGGCATTTGTGCTGCCACAGCCTGACACTGTCAAACCCAGCTCAGCCACAGCCTGCGAGCACACCGAGAAAACATGCTGAGCAACAGCACCAGGGTAAGCAAAGCTTGCTTTCTTTTCCAACTCCTCCTTTAAACACATGCTAGCTACTGCTGCTTCTCCCCACAACTGCTTGCAATCAAAGCCAAGCTGTGCTTTGTCCAGGGGATGCAAGAACATCCCATCCCACAGGTGCCAAGCACTGCAGACACTCACCCAGGCAGCACCAGGGGCCAGTTTAACACTCAGGTTAATCAGGCCTGGATTTCTGAAATATCATCTTAAAAACAATTCATATACACTAACCATGAGATAGCAAAGCACACAAAAAGCTTTCCAGGGATGCAATGCAGGCCTAACAAATCACTAAGAAAATCAACTGTATTGGTTCTATTTGCCCCTACACTTTTAATTCTAAATTTGGTTCAGATTGCTTTTAAGAAAAAAGAAAAAACACAACAAAAAAACACTGACATCTAATTTAGGACAGCCAGTAGATTTCTTAAAACTCCATTATTATCTCAAGAGCGTTAGCTATAAATTAAATTGTTATCCATCAGAACAGCCTGTGACAAAAATCAGATATTCCAAATATTAACAGTAAATTCAACTTTGGCAGAAAAATTTTAGCAGTTCAAGTTTTCCAAGTCTAATGGGAAAAATACTGTTGTGCCTTTAGCTTGGAAATTCACATCCACATCTAAATTCAAGTGTACCTGTAAAACAATTCTGATCCCGTTTTAAACAATTCCACATTTTTAATCAGAAGTTGAATATGGCTTAGAACACTAAGCAGTAACATTTTAGCCTAAGTTTCATGAACAAACAAATTTGAGATAATCACTGTTTGAAACACTTGGATAAACAATTAATTGTATTTTGCTAAGAAATGCAGTCATTTTGAATACCTTAAAAGCAGAAATCATTTCCAAACTTAGAGGCATATGAAAATTTGTTTCACAGAATACCATTTGCTTCAGCAAACTTTTGAAATCAGAGCAGCTGACATTCGACTCCACAGTTCAGCACCTTGACAAGGTAGAAGTTTCACTGAAATTGGTGAGAGAGGTTTTATGATAGTTGATTAAACTATCTTCTCTCAAAATATTTAAATTTCTTGGTAAATTAAAGCTACTAATTTAACATCTTTCATCTAGCTGTATCATCTACATCACAAATAAACTACATTTATTAAAATACTATAATATTATCTGAGGTTTTTTTTTTAAAGTAAGTACTGATTTTAAGATGATGTAATTTAAAAGAAACCTGTAGGAGTTCTATGCAGTTAAAATTCATTGTTTCAGAGCTGGTGCTACGATTAGGTTTTGCTTATTTTTGGCTTTTAAAAGAAACACCTTCTCAGTCTGTGCATGCAAGTAATTACACTTCACTAAATGGCACTTGTAGCATCACATATTGAGTGACAGCACAGAAACAAAGTTGGCATCCACTTGGCACTTCACACAGATCTATCTGCTCCATCAAATGTTATATGACAATTACTGTCCCCTGCTTTTACAGTAAGTATAAAAGCAGTTCTGTCTGCCTTAGTCTGTTCAATTTACTCTCCTCCTAGTAATTACAATAGCAGCACAGTTAGGTAGTTGTAAACTATTTAATGGCTATTTAAAAGCCAGAGCTATTCACTAACACGTTCACGTGTTTCTCAGCACAGGCAGTGTATCTCAACTCTCCCACTAGCTCCTGCTGGAAATTCCTTTTTGCAGTACGTACAGTTTAAGTGCTCTGTTGTACCTGTGTTTCCAATTTCAAGGCACTGCACAAGTTCTCTAAGACTTACCTACTCTACACTGATCTACCAGGGCTCTTTAGAGCATTTACAGCAGCAAACACTGACATCTTCAGTATCTTCAGCTCTATTAAGCAGCAATATTAAGTGTGGTTGAGGCCTACATAAGATCTTGTTAAATCTCACCAGAGACTTCCTCCATGCCTCTCTCTCCAGTGAAGAGTTCAGACATATAAGGTTTCCTGCTATACACACTATATCCACATGGGATAAGAGGAATTCACATTTCTCTTACACCATCCTGCTAAAAGAAGGAAGACATCCCCCCTAAAGATCAGATCACCACACAGAGGTGTCAGATGTCTGGCAGGATGAAAGAGAGCACGGCACCACATCCAGTGGTCCAGGGGTATTGGAAATTCTGAACAAAACTTTAACAGCCATAATCTAAAGTAACTATAAAGCTGCAATACTGTACATTCAGTATTGCAGCTATGTCCATTGAATATGGCAAAGGATGCAGGGAATCTATGTAAAGCTTCCTCTTAAGCTAAAGCAGCCTATGAAGTCAGCCCAAAACAAGGGATTCAAGACAAGAAGCTGCACGCAAACACAGCCCAAGCATTATCTTCCTTAGAAAAATTACTTTGATTCTACCATTAGAACAGCAAACTATTTTTTTATGATTTCTAACATCCATGAATGGCCTGGAATTTCCCTAAAACAGAGCAGTTGTGCAATTTTTGAAACAGGATTCAAGGACCAACCCTTCCTTACCTTACAGAGACTATTTAATGACCCAAATGATTCACAAACACCTCATCTACATATGGGGGAAGCTTATTGGTAGACAGCCAAGTACAATTATCCCTCATGAGGAATTACCAAATCTCCTTTTTCATAGGAAAAATGTTTCTTTCCTTGTATTTGACAAGTGTTTCACACAGTTCTAATGCTTTACAGTACTCCGTATTTAACAGGGGACGAATGGATTACAGCCCCTTAGCGCAAATTATCCATGCCTAAATTTAAATTGACCCTGAACAAGTATTTGCAACCTGCCCCCGTGCAGCAGTAGCAGTTACTCCCTTCCCTACAACAGAGCTCCTGGGGAAGGCAGCAACCAAACGCCACCTCAGCACTTACACCAGACTGCAGCTCTCTCCTCCCAAGAGGCCCCGGGGAAGGATGACAGAGTAAGACAATTCTGCCATCTGCACTTATCCAGCACACCAGAGCTAGAACATCCCACACAGAGATCCCACTCATCACTGCCAACTTCTTCACGCTCAGCAACGATTATTTCTGTGGAAGAGCACTGTGACCAGAGACTGCAGCCCCGAGTCTCCTCCACTGACCCTCACTGAGTCACAGCTCAGCGCAGGGGCAGCTTTGGAGAACATGAGACCTCTGTTCTCCAGAGGGCATTGTTAAACTGCTGCTCTCACAAACAAAGGAAGCTTTAAGGCCACTGACACAGGATTCTGCAGTCTGGCAGTTGAAACATTAAACATTCAAAACACAGTCAACAAGCAGTGGATATTTGTTTCTAACATAATTTAGCGGCAAATTATAGTTGAACTTGTGATTGTTGGCAGAGCGGCCGACTGCAAAGGCTAGGGCTGGGAGGGGAGAAAAATGTGAAGAGTGAGCCCTGGCAGAACAGAGGGTCCCTTTCAAGGGAGGAATGGTGGGCAGACGGCTGCCCAACGCTGCTCGTGGCCCCTGGATCAGATTCTAACACCATCTCGAACCTAAGCCAGCAAAATGTGCTCCCCTAAAATGCAGGAAGTTAAAGAGGCAAGTCAAATACCGAGCCATCACAGAGCACCCCACACACCCAGATGTCCAGAAAACAAGCACCAGAAAACCCAGTGTGACAGCATTCATTATTATTTCTGTGCTACTGTAATTAGCAAAAAGGAATATAAGCAGCACTGGCCATTCCTGATACTTGTAGACCTCCCTGGAGACCCTCCGCCATCTCACAAGCTCATTTATTTTTAATAGCAGACGACTCATACACACATTTTGAAGCAGAGTTAATATTAATTTAGGTTTTTTCTTAAAAAATAACCAAACATTCTTTTTGAACTGCACAGTGTTCAATGTGGTATAAACACATTTCCTTTGCTCTCCTGCCTTGCAACTGAAAACACAAAAAATATCCTTAAAAAAATATATTTACACATACACAGAGGCCCAGGACACATGGAGTCATTTTCCAAACAGGCTCCAAAGGAAAAAAAAGGACTGCAAAGTCATGCTAACTCAATCACCTTCATTTTAGCATTGTTTATTTAGACTCTAAATTTCTGCTAAACTTATTCTAGGTAAAGAACAATAACTTATCACCACTGCACAGAGATGTTATCATTTGTTACTATTCCATCAGCCATCAAATACTTCTATCTGGCTAATATAGAAGTCCTCTACCCATGAAAATTTTAAATTTAAAATTTCAACTAGGAGCATTACAAGTAGCCAGAAGAAGGCCAGCAGTTGTAAAAAATTAGCATAAAAGGGCTTTGGCACTTCTCAAAGTACCTATTATGCTCTAAACATTCCTTGTTGCTGAACAAGAGACTTCCTAAATAAGTTGGGAGGGAGTTAAGAGAGCAGTGAGAGAAAGGATAGGAGCACCTTAATTATCACATCAGCAGATACAAAATAGAGTCAAGATTAAAATAAAAAATTATATAATTCAAAACATGTGCAAGCAGACTGTTAAACAGGGATATTTTCTGTTGGTGAACTGAAAAACATGTTCTTTTTATCAAAGTTGGGAGCGGGCTGGCTGCGAGTGCTACAGAAGTACTTGAAAGCAGAGATGCACAGACAGCTGAGATACAAGGCAGGGAGGCATTTGATAAGACAAAGGGAAGGATGTCACTGTCAGCAGACCACATGGGAGCATCCAGGAAAACAATAGTCATAGCTACCAACACAATCCTTTGAATCAAAGGACTTCTGTCAAACCAAAATAATCTCCCTGCCAACATCTCCCAAGACGCAGGTTTGCTGTAATAAAGAGAAATTTTCCTGTGGTGTATGACTGTAATCTTGACCTGAGCAACTGCTCCTCCAGAGCACCTCCTCCCACTCTCAGGGCAGAAATTGTGTAGAATTCCAGATATCTTAGATTCTTGTACAACACCAAAAACTTGAGTTACCTTGTGTGATGCTAGCACACTTTTATTGCCCACATGAAGAATTTAAACACAAGGGACAAGTGGAACTATTTTAAGAGGAAGCAAATTGACAGCACTGTGCATGAACTTTCTCCTGCATGCACCATTTTACACAGCAAAACTTCTGCTCTGCTAAGCCTGGTCTGACCCAGTCACTTAAACCCCAGGTACTATGGAAAAAACCTCCTGTCACCCACACTTCTGACTTGACAAGACACCTTCAACATTAAGTCAGAAAGAGATCTTTTTAGCAAAGCCACTAGTTCTGTCACTGTTTTTAGCAGTGTATGAAAAAGCTAGACATACTATGTTCAGAAACAGTAGAGGGAATAGTAGGTTTTTAAAGCTAAATCTAGTAATACATAGCATCACTCTTCTGATAGACATGAAATACTTTAAGAAAATTCAGGATGGATCCAGAATTAAGATTTTGGATGTGACTGAACAGTCCTTGCCAGGAAAATGAACAAACACTTCAGAAAACTAGTAAAAAAGTTATACTACAGTTTTAAAGAGCTTAGAGTTAACTGTATCTAGAATAACATGCTTATTTTTAAGATGATACTGATGTTAGCAATCACTTTTAGTTAATTGAGAAACCTTTCTGAAGGAGACTTTTTAATCTAGTATTTAAATCTTGCATTGAGCACTTCATACTTGAAAAAACTGGTCTACCTGACTTCAAGAATACTTCCTGTACCAGATTAAAAAAAAAAAAATTAAAACAAGAAGCAATGCAAGTCATTCACATAGCATATAAACAAGATAAAGTACTAAGATTATGAAAACCTTACAGTAAAGCAAGTACTATGAGGCAGAACACAAACAGCCATTAAGAACTCCAAAAGCAGCAGTACTTTTATATTTGCCATTATGTTGTTTGTTCCTAAGTCGTTTCCCTACACCGTGAAATTCTACAGTGAAAAGTGTTTGGAAATAAACAAGTTGTTTGAACAACTGTTCTCATGGAAGTGTTAAAAATAAGTTTCCAGTTATGAAGCAGACATGACCTACACCAAGTCTCATTACTAACAAATAAACATGCCACTGGCTAGGTCATAAGGTGTTAACCAATATATATGATCCTGCACACACAACTTATGGAAGTTTTTCCAAGTTGACATGAAAGAATGAGTCCAAATTTATTTTAGAGGGAAACTAAGTCCTCTTAATAGTCATTTACCCCAGCTATAAGTGTAGGTGTTACTAGCTGTAAGAACCAAACATACAGTTTGTAGTTGCTTTTTTGCAGCAAGACAAAAACACTGCATATTTAGAATGAAAAAACCATTTGTGTTTCATTGGAATACCAATACATTAACCATGTTTTTGCAGACAGTCTTCCTCCTTTAAGCATGGTAACATCCAAGTGATGGCCAACACCAAGTGCAGCTGTCCCCTGCTTATGAGCTGTTTCACTGCCTGTACATCCTTTTGGGTGCTGTAAATTGGACTATGTCAGTAGTCCCTACCTCCCAGCCAACAGATAAAAGGAACAGACTCTTCTGAACCCACGCTAAGCATCCCAGCAGCATTCACAATATACTTGTCTATTAAGGTTAAGAAGCCTGAAAAATAAAGACAAACACTCTCATGGTGTAGCTTTACCACACTTTCAGTCTAACCCAGTAAGAACATGTGCAACCATTAAATAAGCTCAGTGCAGTAGCTTAAAATAGTTTCACATGCCAGCACAAATAACAGTTTGCTAAGAGAGCAAACAATAGCCAGAGCTGGCTGATTGAGTGGCATGTTCGTGTGAAAACCTAGAGTCTCTTTTCAATTTCACAACCTAAATGTATTTTCTGTATTTGCATCAAGTCTGTTCAGAAGCCTACATAAAGTAGAAGAACTCCAAGTCTAATTAGCTGTCTATTAGTATAAAAGGCAGTTTGTTCCATGTAAATTCAGCAAAGAACTAATATACTTGCTTTGCATTTCAACATAATTACCAACTTTGTTCTAAAACACAAGACCTTACTTGGAAGGGATGTTTGGGGTAGTAAGGAGACAGAAATTAGTTCAGGCTCCTGAATGCTTTTTAGAAACACCAGTCTGTATCCTCTGACATACTATTTATTACTTTGGTTACTCTGATTCCGCTCCATTCCATTGGCACAATGCAACAGAATCATATAAAAGCAAACGGATATAGCTAAGGAAACAGCAGCACTGAAGACTCCCAAATTATAGATATGTGATGAAATTCACAACTGACTGACCTCAACTCTTAGTTTCATACACACTATCTCTAGGAAGGATGGGTGGAAAAGGGAGGAGTAGTAGGAAGGCCCATACAGGAATGAGGAACAGGAAAAATGCAATCACTTTATCAGAGCCAATCCCTTTCCCAGGTTTATATATATAGTTTGTAGGAAATAGTCGATGTAAAGTCAAAAATCCCCAGCCAGCTTCTACTTTTCTGATCAAGCCTCTTATACCATTGGGCCTAGAGTTCGACTGAGACAGAGCTCAAAGGGTTGTCTTACAAACTATCACCAAGCAGAACTCGATGCACATAAAGCCATGCTGGTGGTTTAACTTAACGTTTAAGTAATATCTGTAAACGCATTCACGACAGGGTTAGTATCCCCGCATCTTCAAGGCTATCATGACAGTGAACTAAGCCACGTGCCCCTTCCCTTTCCACAAGTATTGTCGCACCCTTGCTTCATTAACCACCCTCCGACACTTCCGTGGGGCGGCGGCGCTCGGGGTGCCCGTGCGCGCTCCCCGTACGTGCCAGAGGAGCCTCCCCAGGACCACCTCGGGGCCGCGGGGCTGCCGTGAGCCCCAGCGCCGCACACCCTGCCAGCGGCGGCCACCTCCGCACCGGGGGCTCCGACGGGGATTTCCAGCGAACGCGCCCGGGAAAGCCTCCCGACGGCCTCCCTCCCTTCCCCGCGAGAGCCCCCTGCCCGCTGCCCTCCGACGTGGCCGAGCGGCAACAGGAAGGGCGAGCGCGGGGGGAGCGGCGGCGCCGCGAGAGCCGCGGCGGGGCTGCACCGCCCGGCCGCCGCCGCCCTGCGGACGCGTGCCCCGGCGGCCGGGGGCGGAGGTCACCGCTGCCGGGGGGATGGAGCCGGCGGTCCCCTCCCGCACTCACTCACAGGATGCCGGAGCAGGAGGTGCACACGAAGCTGCCCACGGTCATGTCGGTGTAGGTGGGGCCCCGCTGGTCGCAGTCGAAGCACTTGCGGTTGGGCGGGAGGCTGCTCATCTCCCGCAGCAGCTTCAGGTGCTTCTCCTCCTGCTTCCGCTTGGCGCTCGCGGCCATGGCCCCGCCGGCGAGGGACGGCCCGGCACGGCGCCGGGCCCCGCTCACACCCCGGCGGCGGCGGCACTCCGGGGCTCGGCCGGCGGGAGAGGGGCCGGGCGGGCGGGGGGGTGAGGGGAAGACAGGAGAGGAAGGGGCGGGGAGGGCACAACCGGCGCCTGCCGGCGGGCCGGTACGGAAAGGGGGTGGCCGCTGACGCGGACCGGCAGCCCACGAGGGAGGGAGCGGGCGGGGGCCGCGGCTTAGGGGAAGCGGCGGCAGCGGCAGCAGCACCGGGCCCGGGGCGGCGGAATGACGAGCCCGGGCGGAACCTGCGCGACACCTTTATGAGCTCAGCGAGGAGATGGCGGCGGCGGCGGAGCCCCGCGCGCCCGCCGGCTGCAGCGCCCCCTACCGTGTGGGAGGGCGCACTACACCCCTCAGTCCCCTCGCGCCGCGACCCTGGCCCGGGGCGGCGCCTCCGGCGGGGCCGAGTCACCCCGCGTGACCCGGTGGGGAGGGCCAGGGGTCAGTCCTGTGGAGAATCCCGATGGAAAAATATCAATAAAAAGTGTTAGACTTTCCTCGGAGAGGAGGGGATCGCCTTCGCGCTCAGCGGGGTGCTCGGGGCGGGCTGTTCCCCTCACACCGCGGGGTGAGCGCCTGGCAGTCCCCGCCGCCCCTCAGCCCCTCGTGGGCAGTGGCCTCAGGTCGGCTGGGAGAGTGGGAGGTGCTCCGTGAAAGAAGGACCACGTGCCTCGTCCCCAGCCCAGCGCTGCCGGTGTCCCTCTGTGTCCCCAAAGTCTGGAAATTCAGTCTCGGAGCGTGGCGAGAGCGGAGGCGCTCCCGGTCCCAGCTCAGGTGCCCGCGGGTCCTGGCGGCGGGGATGGCCCGGGGGACGGGCTGGTGGCCGTGGTTCCGTGAAGATCCTCAGGGCGGATTGCAGCGGATTTGTGGGGAGAGCACCCCCACGGGGTCTGGCTTTCTTGGGACGGAGGTGAGAAATGCACAGTTCTCTTTTGGGAATTCGGTGCTCGGCTGGCCGTTCCCCCAGCAGGGGAGAGAGCAGGGGCAGCAGTCCTGTACTTCTGGTACCCGAGAGGAAACCCCAGTCAGCCCCTGATCCACAAAATACGTGTTTGTTCCCCACAAAGGTGCCTAACAGTGTGCGAAATCAATGTTAGAGAAAAAAGTAAATGCACTTTATATTTCAGTGATTTCACCCTAGCAACGCTATGTATGATTAAAATCTTTTAATGTTTAATGACCCAATACAATGTATTTAGGGTCAAGTTTTGTGCCCCTGATGTCAGTACACATGGGAACAAGATCTGATCCACTGTATTTTCCTCATAGTTTCAGTTAAAAAAATCTAGAACTAAGTGTTCAGCATCAGTAATCTGTCCTTCCTCTTCTGATTCCTCTGGATGTGCTATGTGCTAATTTACCTGAGCTGATCAACCAGTTCTAAGTTTTAAACACAGAAGGCAATGCTCTAATTTTTTCCTAGTATGGATGGCAGGAGCTGTTCAAAGTGAAAAATAAACATCACTAAATAATCACCAATGCTTAAATAGCATTCTTAAGAGTAAACAGGAAATATTTCCAGTCTTATAAGGACCAAATTCTCACTGCTTCTCACTGCTGATATTCTTGTAATTCAGAAGGTTTCATTTATTTTGCCTTTTACGAAACATGCTAACATTGTACCTTTTCCAACGACCTAAATGACCTAAAGCAGATGACCTAAATTCAGAAAAAAAAAATTGAAGGTTAAAAAACAAGTTGTTGTTTTTTCCTGGAAAATCCTTGAGAGAGCAGTGATTGGCCACGCACCTGCTGCAGCAGAGAGTTGCTCCATGCAGGCAGGTTTAGTTTCAACCAGAGTCAAAGGTGGTTTGTAACTGAAGCAGGAGCAAGCAGCTTCCACTGCTCATATCACGACTGAACTCACATCAATGTCTCACAGGAACAGCTGCTAATCAAAACGACATCGCTGACATTGACATTGTCATTGTCAGTAAAATGTGGAACTGAGCTCCCAGGAAAAATCCTAGCACTGTGTAAGTCAATCAGAAAGTTCAGTAGGAATCTGTGGCTCCAGTTTGCTTTGTGAAGAAACAGTCCTGCCATTATTCTGCTGTTTGATAAGCCTATTGAGCCAAGATAGGCTTACACCAGTGATGAATTACCTATGTTAACATTAATGTGGTTTAGAAACGACTTTTTGTAAACACCAAGCTTCTCCATCCTGTATGTTACAGAGCAAATTTACCCCAGGAAACTACAGAATGAGACCTCAGAGGTGTGTGAGGATACACAGATCCCACAAATGAGATCTGTGGGATTTGGGTTCTTCCAGAGTCTGTGGGCACACCTGGGGTTCCTACAATCAAGTATCTAAATCTTCCCCTCCTGTTTCCCAGAGGAACCTAAGGAATGCAAGGCCCTAAGTAGAACTGTGTGTAACACTGTTGACATACGGAGCTAAAAACTGGCTGTGGTAACTTCCAGCTCTGTTTCACCTCCCCTCAAGCAATAACATTACTTGTGCTCCTCTTCCATTCCTGCTTTTTCTATTTTTTACTGCTCACAGCAAGCATTAATTTCCTCAAAGCAGCTGGTCTGTGTTTTCTCTAAATCACTAAAGGGAAATATCCACAAATAATACACATGAATAAAACCGCTTCTCTTCAGTTTTACTCCTGGCTTTTCTTTTTCATTACATATTTTTCTGTTTCTCTATGCTAGAACGCAAATTTCCTTTCCTGCAGCTTCTCTGTCCAAATTTGTTCTTCATTCTCTCCTTCTAATGACCAGACTTCTGCAGTTGGAAATATACTGTCCAGCTGTTTATTCCAAAAGTGCTTAATCCCTGCTGCACCTGCTACAGCTTTTAGCATTAAAATTAATTTCTTAACAAGAGGTAAAACAATTATTTTTTATGCTTGCAACATTTCTCTTTACATAAGAACCAGAATTTAATATTGCAGTTGTGGGTAAAAATATCTGAAAGATGTTGCTTTTGTAAGCTCTTAAATATGGGCCAATAGGGTATAAATTATAATGTACATACACATAATCTAGTGGATTTATTGTCAGGACCAAAAGAAACAAGACTCTAAGAATGTACATTTGGGAGATGAATAAGACATTCCCTGTTTGCCACTAGGATTGAGGTCAATAATATCCACTTTAAAGCAATTAACCCAGCAGGATAAGTGACATGAAAATTATCATGCTGAAAGGCTAATGGGCTATTAAATCCATCTTGCTTCACCACTGATGGGCACACAGAATTAATCCTGGGATTAGGTATATCGGATCGGGTAAACTGCTACCTCACTTCATATTTGTATGTGAAGGGTTTCCTGAAAATGCCAGCAAAGAACACAGCCACAACATTCACTGATGTGCTCTACTCAAGGTTCAGTCCACTGAGCAGAAATTAGTGTGTCTGTGCCTGGCCTTATTCAAGCAGTAGCTTTTTGTTAATGAATAGATACGTTTTGGTAAGAGATCAGAACAAGAGAAAGTCATAGTAATGGTTATATAAATCATGCTGCCTGTTGGCAGTTATTTAAATCTGGACAATTCAATGCAAGAAAATGGTCAGACAAATATGATTGAATTACAACATTATCTTTACTTGCAATGCCATTTCCCTTGGACATTTCCCACCCACTGCTATGGCATTAATGTAGTAAGAAAAGGTAAATGATGGAAAGCCCTGCCTTTACCCTTAACAGCTGTGAATAAGAAACTGACCTCACGTAAAGAGAAAGGCAGTCTCATCAGCTTGGGATTTTTGTAATGAACAAGTTAGTGGTCTGTATTGTTTTCATCTCATCTTTTATTTGTGTGAAATACACCTAATTCGTTTGGAGCAATATGGGGTAGGAGATGGTTTTCAGTCACCATATGATTCTCTTCCTGCTTTCTAGATTGGCCAGTGATGTTGAAAGGTTATCAATATTTCAGCCTTGACCCTTTATTTGACACAGTTCTTGAATTCCATCGTGCCTTGAGTGCACAAGATCATATTCCAGTTTGTAATCACAGACTAGGCAGTGGAAAGAACATGCCTTTATACAGTTGCAGTGAAAGCAAAATATCTGTCATAGGAATGCACATCTTGTATGCAAGGCAAATGCATTTAATTTTTATTATCATCTTTACAGTACGTTTTTAGAGAATGTGCCAATGTTTCTATTACTGTTTTTCATTTTGTATTGGTTTATCATTAATCTGTAAAACCCTGTAGTTGAATGATGCTTTATAAGCTGTAACAGAAGTTTTGGTAAAATGATTGTTTCATGCATTCTTTCAGAGAAACATGCCAGAGGAGAGTGGAACCCTTCAAACCACAGAGTACACTCATACTTGATCCCGTTACAGCAATAGAAATACAAGGGTAAGTCATATAATATTTTATATTTGCTGGAACATCCCACAGGAATGTTGGCAATGCACAAGGCAGCCCAGAGTCTATGGGTAGAAGAAAGAAGTTGTGGAACTGATATGAACAAAACAACAAGGATTGAAAAAACCCATATTTAGGACACAAATGTGAAAGACAGAACTCAATGGTAAGGTAAGGTGGTAAGGTAGTTCAACTCTTCAACTCCTTTGGTTCTAAATTAGAAGAGGGAGACAGAATTTAAACAGACATCTAAACCCCCACAGCTTCTGTAGTATTTGGCTACATGAAGTACTGAACCAGGAAATGCTCTCCCAGCTCTCTTAGCAGGAACAACTTAATTTGCACATTAAACTTTAAAGACTTAAGTTATTTCTTGACCTATAAATGAGATTTGTATTTAAAACTCAATGTATTTTGAAGTTCAGTTCTTCAGTACCATTTCCACTTGATGATGAGCATTTCCTGCCTGTTTTCTGTAAAACTCCCATGGGAGTGAAGAGAGGCCTTTGTTGCTTTCCACTAATGAATCTAAATTATTGATTAGTCAGTCTAATTTGTGGAAGCTGCTCTTGGTTAGTGCTGTCTTAGAAGTGCCTTAGATTGGGCAAAAAGAAATAATTTCACACAGATCTTCA